AAAAACCTGGAGTATCAGACTGCACTGAGAGTCCATTATTTGCAGCCAACTCAAGCTCTCGGGCCTTAGCAATTTTGGCATCAACATCAATGATACCGGCTTTGGCCTCTTCCAAGGTTTTTCTCCTCATGCTATACATGGAATAAGGTTTTTCAATAATGAGGGAAGTTGCTCGGTGCTTAAGTTCTTCTTTAAGTTGAGTAACCTCGGCGGAAAGGTTTGCCCGAGCGGATCTAGCGGATTGGAGGCTGACGTCGAGCTCACAGACAGTTGAACTAAAGAGCCTATTATGCTCGATAGTTTTTCTATACTTATCTTCTAGCTGGGCATGTTTCTCCTCCACGGCATCAAGCTCTTCACTTTTGGAGTTCAAGGCTGCCTCCAAGTTAATCACTCTTTCAGTGGAGGCATCCTCACGATTGGGTGCAGCAAGAACGGCGTTCTGGACTTCTGCCCATTTGGCCTTGGCCTCATCAAATTTAACCCTCAGCGGCCGAATTTCTTGGCGAAGGGTGACCACTTCTTGCTCACTTTACTGCAATCGAGCCTCCAAAACAACGACCTCAGTAGCTTTAGTTTTCAATTGTCCCAACTACCCTCAAACTCAATAATGCAGGCTCGAAGCATATCCTCCAAGATTTGTATTACTCTCTCAGACTGCCATCTGTTTGTGGATAGAAAGCGGTACTAAAATTCAACCTAGAACCCAAAGCTTCTTGCAAGCTAGACCAAAATCTTGATGTAAACCTTGGATCTCTATCAGATACAATAGAAATAGGGATTCCATACAGCCTCACAATCTCATTAATGTATAATTCTGCCAAACGTTCCAGTGGGTAGTCCATTTTGATTGCCAAGAAATTAGCACTCTTAGTTAGTCTATCCAAATTGTATCATGATTCCTTTGAGTACGTGAGAGTCCAGAAACAAAGTCCATCATTATCCTTTCTCATTTCCACTCAGGTATTGACAAGGGTTGTAGTAGACCAGCAGGGACTTGATGTTAAGCTTTTATTTGTTAACATACCAAGCATTTAGAAATGAACTCTGCAATGTCTTTCTTCATACCACTCCACCAGTAGTGCTCCTTGATGGTCCGGTACATTTTAGTACCTCCAGGATGCATTGCATAAGGCGAACTATGTGCTTCAATCAAGATATGCTTCCTCAATTCATCATCATTAGGAACACACAACCTATTTTTATAAAACAAGGTATCATCTTTCTTCAATGTAAAATCTAATTCTCTTCCATTTTGGACTTATTCAACCCATTTCACAAGCTTCTCATCTAACTTCTGCGCTTCTTGGACCTGCTCAAGTAAGACTGGCTTGACTTGCAAATTAGCAATGATAGAAACATTAGAATTAAATGAAAGACAAACATTCATGGCTCTTAATTCAAGAATCAAGGGCAAAGGACGTAGACTTAAACTTGCAAGGGAATTGCGACTCAACGCATCTGCAACTACATTAGCTTTACCAGGATGATAATCAATCGTGCAATCATAATCTTTGATGAGTTCAAGCCATCTATGTTGTCTCAAGTTTAACTCTTTTTGTGTACCCAAGTACTTCAAACTCTTGTGATTAGTAAATATGTGACATTTCTCCTCGTACAAGTAATGCCTCCAAATTTTTAAGGCAAAAACAATGGCAGCAAGTTCGAGATCATGAGTGGGATAATTCAACTCATGCGATTTCAACTTTCGAGAGGCATAAGCAATTACTTTCCCTTCTTGCATCAAAACATAACCCAAGCTACAGTGAGATGCATCACTGTATACCACATAATCTTTCCCTTCAACTGGCAAAGAAATTATTGGAGCTTGTGTCAACAAGGATTTGAGCTTTTCAAATCTCTCTTGACACTTGTCATCCCACACAAATTTGACGTCTTTCCCCAAAAGTTTGGTCAAAGGAGAAGCTATAATAGAGAAGCCCTTCACGAACCTCCTATAATATCCTGCTAAACCCAAGAAACTTCTTATCTCAGTTGGAGTTTTAGGAGGTTTCCAATCAACAATAGCTTGAATCTTACTAGGATCAACCTTCACACCTTCAGCTGATACAATATGCCCAAAAAATGCCACTTCACTCAGCCAAAATTCACATTTGGAAAGCTTCGCGTAGAGTTTCCTCTCTTTCAGAATTTTCATGACAATCCGGAGATGCTTATCATGATCTTCTCTATTCTTGGAATAGACTAAAATGTCATCAATAAACACCACCACAAATTGATCAAGATAAGGCTTAAATACACAGTTCATTAGATCCATAAATGCAGCATGAGCATTTGTCAAACCAAATGGCATTACCAAAAATTCATAATGTCCATACCTGGTCCTAAAAGCAGTTTTAGGAACAACTTGGTCCCTCACTCGCAATTGATAATAACCAGACCTCAAGTCAATTTTTTAAGAACAAGCTGGCACCTTTCAGTTGGTCAAACAAGTCATCGATTCTAGGCAATGTATATTTGTTCTTAATTGTTACCTTGTTCAGCTACCGGTAATCAATACAAAGCCTAAGAGTGCCATCTTTCTTTTTCACAAATAAAATAGGAGCTCCCCAAGGCAAAATACTAGGACGAATAAAACCTTTCTCAAAAAGTTCTTGCAATTGATCCTTCAACTCTTTTAATTCAGCTGGAGCCATTCTATAAGGAGCGATAGAAATAGGAGTAGTTCCAGGGACAAGCTCTATAGGAAATTCAATCTCCCTTTCTGGAGGCAACCCAGGAAGATCATCAGAAAATACAGCAGGAAAGTCGCACACTGTTGGTATGTCCTTAAGACTTGGACTCCCCAATCGTGTATCGACTATATGAGCAAGATAAGCATCACAACCTTGACAAATCATCTTCCTTGCCAAGACCGCAGAAATAATATTAGCTATCAATGATCTTTCTCCTTGAACTACTATGTGTGTGTATGTAGGAGTTCTAAAAGTCACTTGTTTCAACCTACAATCAACCAATGCATGGTGCCTATGGATCCAATCCATACCAACAATAATATCATAGTCTTGGAAGGGCATTTCAAGCAAGTCTGCAGGGAAGACCAGATTTTGAATCATGAATGGACAATCTCGGTAAATCTTATTAACAACAGCTTGATGACCTAATGGACTCGTGACCAGCACATCAAAGTCAAGTCTTACAGATTTAACAGTATTAAGAAATGCAAATGATGAGCAAACATAAGAGTGCGAAGATCCAGGATCAAATAATATAACAACAGATATGCCAAATAAGTGAAATTTACTAATAACCACGTCCGAGCCATCTTGGTTATTTTTCTGTCTCATAGAATAGACTCGTGCAGTAGATCTCGACCCACTAGCCTGATTAGCTCTACCCGAACCTGCCACTTGTATATTTCTAGGTCTTGCACCGTTATTAGCTTGAGAATGAGTAGTGATAGGCTTTTGAACTGAGCCCTCTGTATGCGTATAAGAAAGAGGATTAGGATTAGAACAATCCTTCACTTTATGATCCATACTTCCACAATTAAAACAAGCACCATAAGCTCTTCTGCAGACACCATAGTGATTCTTTCCGCACTGTGCACAAGTAGATGTATAAGTTTTGCCTTGGCCATAACTTGGAGTACTAGCAGTAGAGAAATTTGGCTTATTCTGCTTATGATATGATGACTTCTATGCACTTTCAGTCTTGGAATAGTCAAACTTTCCCTTCTTGGATGGACCGCCATAATCTGAATTACCCTTCCTAAACTTGTTTTCTCTCCTACTAGCTTCTTCCTTATCAATTCTTTCCCAAGTAAGAGCAGCTGAAATTAGCTTGGAAAAATCCTCAAGTTGCAAGATTGCCACAGATTTTCAAATGTAACCATTCAAACCTTCTTCAAATCTTCTGCACTTGTCTCTTTCACCATCAATAATACCTCCAGCATAGCGAGAAAGCCTGATAAAGTTTTGTTGATACTCTGCAATAGACATACTCCCTTGTCTTAAATTCGGAAACTCTTTTTTTCTTTGCATCACACTAGACAGGAGGGACATATTTCGCACGAAATGCTTTCACAAAATCATCCCAAGTCAGCACCGGAGGTTTTGCTTTTGCATTTGGCACACTTACCTACCAATCATAGGCATCTTTTTGTAAAAGAGAGATAGCATACTTAAATTTTGCAGCATTAGTACACTCTAGTTGTTCAAAGACCCTCTCCATGCGCTCGAGCCATTGTTCAGCTACCGTGGGATCAGTAGTGCCTTCAAATTCAACACCACCCATTTTCCTCATCTTCTCAAAATTTATTTCACTAGGTTCTGACATTGTCCCAGCCAAGTGACGAAAGAACTCAGCCATCTATTGAAATGGAGGAGTCATAATAGGAGTATTATGACCCATTGCTCCTGGATTATTGTCCACTTCATTTTCACTAACACGATGATAATTTAATTTAGGCAAGGGTACCTCATCTCCTTCTTGGAGGTGAGGTGGAGCATTATAATGGGCCTGACTTTCATCAACGGATTCGATAGCTCTATTTGAAGAAGAGGCCATATTAAATTCCTATACAAGATAAGATCACACTGCATTAGGGACATGTACATGATGCATATGCACAAGTAATACATCAAATTACATTAAACAAGTATGCAAAAATTTATAATCTCCAAGTCATTTTTAAGAAATTAAATAACAAAAAGATTAGGTACGATCACAACAAAAATCCTAGAATCGCAAACCTAGGCTCTGATACCAAAACTTGTAGCAACCCCTTTGGGAGGGTGCTACTTACGAAATAAATATAATTTACTACTTACAACATTAAGAAGATATTAATTAAAAAATATTCAGAATAATTTAGTAGCGGAAATAGGCCCATGAGATGAGGTCCAAAGTGCAATATTTTTAATTTTGAAAATGCTCTTCATAATTTTTTTTTCTTTAAAATTAAATACAATGTTAAAATTTCAACATAAGGTGATATAACCCTTCTTGAATAATCAACACGTTAAAGCAACTTCCTAACAAAATTATACTTTCATTCGACATCACTGCAAGTTTGTATTGTACATAAATTTCAAACTGTCGGGTATAAAAAGAAAAACTAGTTTTCTCCTTTGTACATATACAAGATTTCTCCTTTGTACATAAGACAAAGTCTAAATTAAACATATTACAAGATTTGAGTTATTAACACACCTTAAAACAGCAAAATAAGTTACCAAATTCAAGTTACAAGATTTTGGTCTTAATATCCAAGCCTCTAAATAACATACATAAGTGTGACATATATATCATGTACAAGTCCCAAAACTATACAAAACCATGGTGCATATGCAAATGTGATCTCCTTAAGTGCTCCCAAAAAGACTACTTCATAAGGTCGTCTTCAAATTACATCCCGTACATTACCTACGATAGAAAACAACTATCGCTAAGCATAAAGCTTAGTGGCGTATAAACTTTGGGGGCTTGGAGCCATTAACTTCTCCAATTCTCATTTTTAGTCATAGGTAGCTCAAATGAAATATAATTTAAAACAAGTGAACAAATATATCAAAATTATCAAATATCAACCCTTGAAGTGTTTCCAATAATCAATAACTATATTCAAGATTCAAGAGTTGAGAAAGCGTATACTATCAATCCAAGAAAGCTTGTCAAATATTTATTTTTCGCCCAATATGTACGTCATGTCATTACACTGAGCAAAATCAGATATCAAGATGGACCGAAGTCCAAAATCAAGTAGGGTCAAAACCCAATAGTCAAGAGAATCAAGAACAAAATTAAAAATGGCTTCCTAGTTCATACTTAACACGGACAAGTTCCATAATTTAAGACGAACTACAAATCCAAAGTCAAGATGGCAGAAGATCCAAATCAAGAGGCATGCCAAGATGAGTGACAAAGTCACTGCCACAAGAAGGAAAAAGTCCCAACAAGAATGCAAAATGATCAAACAATCCGTACGAGTGGGCGATTTAGCAAATATCTTATAATACTTGATATAACACGAATACAATGCTATTTATTGAAGACAAGGAAAATAAAATATCAGGTTATTTCAAAATATTCCAGCAAGTAAAAAGAGTACAAAGTTTATACACAAACCTTGGTGTTTTACCACAAAATAGTTCAACCATAACTTGAGGACGTTCGAATCATCTACGCCCTAGACAAACCAAATTCGTCCACTTCCTCAAACACTTCCCCTTAGATTTTACAAGGATATATATACCTTAAATACATAATAAAATATCTATATAAGTTCAGTGATTTAACATGTCAAACTAAACATGATATTGGTGAAAAGTATCCAAAATGTTAGAAACAGAAATTCTGGACAGTATCACTGCCTCGTGTTGTGACTCAGATTTGAAGATGAAAAAGGATAAAATAGACTGTGTGGTCTTCTTTACAATTGTAGATATGTGTCTTAGAGTTTTAGAACATTTTGAATCACCCCCATATCAATTTTGTACAAAACGTTATGCTAAACTTACTAACAGTAGTACAGGGAGGGTTTGTAAAACAGAAAATCTGGGCAGCACCCGTCCTGTGCTTCATCACCTATTTTCGGGTAAATAAAAGATAAACCAGGTTTTTGTTCCTTCATAAACATTATAGATCTATGAAATAGCTTTCCATAAAGTCTTAGATCACTTAACACAGAGCTCTATACAAAAAGATATGAAGAAAACACTAATAGTTGTCTAGTGTAAAAACGGGTTTAGTAACTTACCACAAAAGAGAGGAGCAACTTCAGCTTCACCAAGAACGAATTTTGCTGGTTGGTTTAGTGGAAATTTATGGTGGTTTTCATGAAGTTTTCAGGTGATAAGAAGGAGAGAGGGTAGGGGTGTTTTTCTTTTTCTTGAAAGAATGAAAATGGGGAGTTTATGGAAGACTAAGTCAATCAAAGTTGTCTTTAAGAATTTTGGATAAATATGAAATACAAATGGTTGCCCAACTACTAAATATCTTTAGATAAATACAAAAGAGTGACAGCCCAAAAATTTAATTAATGTATTTAATAATAATTCATCAAAATAATATTAAGTGTTATGCATAGCAACACCATGGAACTTCTTTGTCAGTATTAACACAACCTAGAGTAAGAAATTTTTATGTATTGTAAATTTCACGTTTAGGAAGTTGCGAAGTAAAAATATTTCCTCATTATAAAGATGCTCAATCGAAAATGTAAATATTAGTAAAACTTTGGGGTGTTACAGACGATGACGGTGACGGGAGCAAGAGTGGGTCTCAGAGTGGGGAGGAGCCCGATGGAGAAAAGACTGCTCCCGTAGATAATTAGGTTTTTTCTTTTTTGATCTTTTTGTGTAAGGCCCTGATCGAAGTTTTGTAAACATCATCATATATATAAAAGTCTTTTCTTTTCCCGACTTGTCTCTGTTTTCACTCTTCTGCCTAGTGAAGATTTTTGTTTTACTTGTGCCTTATGAAAATGTTCATAAGTTTGAGGCTTTAGGCAATTTTGATTGAATTTGGTCTTTGTAGCCTTTATAACCGAGTGAGTACTTGCTTGAAGTCGAAGTACGAGTGGCCCTTAGGCTATTATAGTTGAGTGAGCATTTGCTCAAACTTTAAGTAAAGTAACCCTTAGGCTTAATAGCCGAGTGGGCGATTGCTCGAACCCGAAGTAAGATAGCCCGTAGGCTTAATGGTCTAGTGAGTGATTACTCGAACTCGAAGTAAGATAGAGTGATTGCTCGAACTCGAAGTAAGATAGAGTGATTGCTCGAACTCGAAGTAAGATAGCCCGTATGCTTAATGGTCGAGTGAGTGATTGCTCGAGCTCGAAGTAAGATAGCTCGTAGGCTTAATGGTCGAGTGAGTGATTGCTCGAACTCGAAGTAAGATAGCCCGTATGCTTAATGGTCGAGTGAGTGATTGCTCGAGCTCGAAGTAAGATAGCTCGTAGGCTTAATGGTCGAGTGAGTGATTGCTCGAACTCGAAGTAAGATAGCCCGTATGCTTAATGGTCGAGTGAGTGATTGCTCGAGCTCGAAGTAAGATAGCTCGTAGGCTTAATGGTCGAGTGAGTGATTGCTCGAACTCGAAGTAAGATAGCCCGTATGCTTAATGGTCGAGTGAGTGATTGCTCGAGCTCGAAGTAAGATAGCTCGTAGGCTTAATGGTCGAGTGAGTGATTGCTCGAACTCGAAGTAAGATAGCCCGTATGCTTAATGGTCGAGTGAGTGATTGCTCGAGCTCGAAGTAAGATAGCTCGTAGGCTTAATGGTCGAGTGAGTGATTGCTCGAACTCGAAGTAAGATAGCCCGTATGCTTAATGGTCGAGTGAGTGATTGCTCGAGCTCGAAGTAAGATAGCTCGTAGGCTTAATGGTCGAGTGAGTGATTGCTCGAACTCGAAGTAAGATAGCCCGTAGGCTTAATGGTCAAGTGAGTGATTTCTCGAACTCAAAGTAAGATAGCCTGTAGGCTTGAAGTAAGATAGCCCGTAGGCTTAATGTTCTAGTGAGTGATTGCTCGAACTCGAAGTAAGATAGCCC